GGGGGGGACCTTATGGATTCATGTAAAAGGTAGGTTTTTTTTGGGGGGGGGAGGGGGGGGGTACCATATATATATATATCCCTGTAGGTCCTAACTTTACTGCGTTGCCGTTAAGGAACTTAGTTAAGTTTCAGTTTCTGTAACAATTTAAAAAAAAATACTGTATACCCACCTTATGGTAACCCAGTAAGTATAAGTTCCTTAGCAGCAAACCAGCTTAGTCCATAGTTCATATCATGCAGGCGCTTGGAATGAGAGCGAGCTCGAAGGTTGCTTATCAAGATCCGAGTTGCCTTCCATGCCCGGTGCAATAGTGCCCGTGGTGTACTATTGATACTAAAGCTGCTGCATGACTTTGGTATACTATAGCTGTAGTTTCCTTAGACATATAATAAAGAATACTATCGCTAATATTTCCTTAGGGTTATACTATCATGAAAATTAAAGATCATTCTTAAGGACAGTACAGATAGTACCAAGCACTTAGGCGTATGCAGGAGTATGGTATGCACCTTAATGTAAACCCATGATTAATAAACCCCTCCTTTTAAGGGCATTAATATTAGGATCCCTATTATACCTAAACCCTACACCCTAAACCCTAAACCCTAAACCCTATTAGGCGTCTGGGTAATGCACCTTAGGGACTCCCCACATCCACCTTGCAGGAGGGCCTGGCCTTGGGGCCGAAAGACTTCACCTTGCTATTCCAACCGTAACCAAAGTAGTTTAGGATTTGGGGTTTAGGGTTTAGGATTTGGGGTTTAGGGTTTAGGGATTTGGGGTTTAGGGTTTAGGGATTTGGGGTTTAGGGTTTAGGGATTTGGGGTTTAGGGTCTAGGGTCTTTTCTTTCTTCCTAGTCCTGCTCTTTAACTATGTTCTGTTAAGATCACCAGCATTGAGGCAAGTGCGCGATGGTCTCTTCCCTCTTCTGCTGTGCCGCCTGAAACAGGTATTTGGCTTCTTCATGCCTACCAACACAGGAATGGAAAATTACATAGACACTGGGATGATATACAGGTAGAATCCCTGTATAGCCCCTATATATATATATATCCCTTTCTAACCCCTATATTCCCCTGTCAAGGGCCTAAGCAAGTTCCAGAAAATCTTGAGCTCTCCAAGTCAATGCGAGTTGCAATCGAGCTTAGGGTTTAGGATTTAGGGTTTAGGGTTAAGGGTTTAGCTAACAAGGAAACCCACAAAGGGCTCTAAAAAGACGACAATCCCCTTTGAAAGGAGACTGTATTGGTTTCCATGTTAGTTTGGGCGAATGTGTCTCAAGTCAACTGAACCGCATTGAGAATTAACTTTCAAGACCCTCAAGATGCTGAAACAACGTCTCCTCCGAAATATAAATCCTAGGGCCCTTCCTTAGAGGGGATATAGGGGATATACTGGAGTATATAGATGTTATATAGGGAATATACTCCCCATCTCATCCCAGTGTCCATGTCATTCCCCCGGCTTCTTCCATTTGATTATCCAGTGTCCCGGCACCCTACACAGTCCATTTAATGATTTTGGGCTTGGGGTTGTATATGCAAATAACTCAGGTTTAGGGTTTATGGTTTAGGGTTCCAACCTTCTTGTCCATGCGACTGCCCATTGTTGGAGCATAAGATCGGTACACATGGCAGTAGTCCCTGCATAATAATTCCCGATAATAGAGCAGCTTCATCCTTCCTTATTTTCTCGTTCCATGTTACCCACAGGTAAGTGACATGTACTATCCCTAAAACCCTAAACCCGTAATAACAGTTTCCATTTTCTTTGATGGTATCACTATATGATCGCCATATAAGGCCTGGATAACCCTAAAACTCTAGAAACCCTAAACCCTAAACCCTAAAACCCTAAAACCCTAAACTAAAACCCTCAAACCCTAAAACCCTAAAACCCTAAAACCCTAAACTAAAACCCTAAGACCCTAGACCTCCTACACAAGACGGCTCCTCGCGGTTGGTGTTGCACTCCTCGTTCATGGCCTCCCAGACTTGCAGCAAGGCCTTGAGCTCCTGAAGACACGGGGTATATAGGGATAATGGAAGAGAAAATGGAAACTACAGGGATTATACGGGTTATATAGGGGTTATAGGGGGTATATAGGGATAATGGAAAAGAAAATGGAAACTACAGGGATTATACGGGTTATATAGGGTTCTATTGGGGGTATATGGGGATAGTGGAAAAGAAAACGGAAGCTACTATAATGGGTAGGGCTTAGGGTTTAGTGGTTTAGAGTTTAAGGGTGTAGGGTTTATTGGTTTAGGGTTTTAGTGTTTTAGGGTTTAGGGTTTAGGGCTTAGGGTTTAGTGGTTTAGGGTTTTAGTGATTTAGGGTTTAGGGCTCAGGGTTTAGTGGTTTTGGGTTTAGAGGTTAGGGGTTTTAGGTTTTAGGGCTTAGGAACTTGTAGCAACCTGAAAGCACACGGAACTGATCACTTTCCCCAAAAATAGGAGGATGCATCAAAATGCATCAGCTTCTAGAATGACTCCTACTTTTGGGAAGGCATCATATTCCAACTAAGGCTTTGGTGCTGCCTGGTGCAGGCTCAGCAATGTCCGGAGAGATGCGATAACATGACACCCGCCTGCAGGTCCTAGTGGTAGCAAATAAAGGGGCTAGCATCCTGCTTGGGACTTCCCCATCCAGTCTCTGTCCTTCAAGGGGCTTTATCAAGGGGCTATGAGAACTCCTATAAGACCCATGGTTTTTATATAAGGTCCCCCAAATTGGACACCAAATATATACACTCACCAATATTCAATATTCCTAGGGAACCCTATATACACTCACCAAAGACCATAATAAAAACCCTTCTTCTAATAAGAATCCATACTCCAAGTGTTACCTACCGCAGCGTCTCCTCCTGGACGGAAGCCAGCTCTGTAGTCTTCTCCTGCGAAAGCAACGACTTGGAGAGTCAGGGAACTTAGTAAGTCGATTAAAAATGGGGATGATTGGGGTTCCTACATGGCTTACAGGGCTTCTAAGTCTACTTACAAAATCCCCCGACCCCCGAATTAAAGACTTGCTTTATGCATGCCTTTCCCCCTCGCCGGCAGAAAGCCCTTCTGAATTTCCATCAACATCTTGGTGCAGCTATTTACAAGAATTAGTCCCACCATGGGAAACCACCCCCTTGCCCCCCCCCAGAAAACATCATCCTTGTGCAGCTACGATAGGCGAATGGATAAGAGGCATAACACAATGTTTGTTGGGCGCAATACACTGCTGCAAATGCAGAAGACTTGTTACCAGATCTTGGGGGATGATGCAAGCCACACAGACCCCCCTGCGATGCCCGAATTCCTGTTCTTTTTCAACCCCTACCCCTGCAGCAGTCAAGCTCCTTTTGGAGTTTCGCGTTAGCTTTGGGAAGGATGAGCGGAGCCCCCCCTTGTACTGCCCCCCCTAGGTTCTCGCTGGGACCATTTTTTAGGCCTAGCTACAGTTAAAAAGGATGAGCCTAGGGGGGGAGTACAGAGGGGGGGCAATAGGGGAACCCATGGTTAATTTTTCAAGCATGATGATTGCAAGAACTCTGCCTACCTTTCAGGACCCAAGTATCTCGAGGATGCCTACGGCTATCCCGCTTTTGAAACCCGCGCTACTCCAAACCCTAAAGCCATATCGCTAAATCTTAACTACCAGAACCTATATTACGTAATGAACGGCTGATCCCGTAATGCTAAACAGATGTATACCCCCATACATACACCCTACATATCCCCATATATACCTCGTCCTACAACCCCAGCTCACCCTTATACCCCCCTCACACCCTACATGTCCCTGCAGCTCATAAAACCCCAGCCCACCCGAAAAACCCCCATGCACCCTGCAGCCTACATGTCCCGGTAGTATACCCAAAACTCCAGCCCACCCCTATCCCCGCATACACCCTGCGTATCCCTACAGTATACCCCATCCATAAAACCCCAGCCCAACCTCATTGTCCCTATATAACCCTATATGCCCCCTTTAAAGGGACCCCTAATGTACTATAGTTGTTTCCATCATCTTTTCCATCATCCCTAAACCCTAAACCCTAAATAGTAGCTTCCATTTTCTTTTCCATACCCTATATAACCCCAATATAATGACTATCCTATATACTCACTAAAGAAGAAAAAGCACTCGGCTTCGCACCTCAGAGTCAGACAGTTGCTCTGTTGCGTACTCCTCGTCATGCAGATTTCCGGCTTAGGGTTTAGGGCTCAGGGTGTAGGATTTTGGGGATTGAGGGTTTAGGCTCAGGGTAAGTCTTGGAGCTTAGATATTCTAACTTCTGGATTCCGGGATTCCGGACTACCATTTGAGGAGGACGCTGGGGATATGCAGGCATTATCAGGGTTCACTGCGGAAGTTGAATACAGATGATGCACAACTAACAAAACAAAAAGGCCAATGAGGCTGACATCTCATGGGAATGTGATCACTACTTCTCATCGAATTACCAACGCCTTGCTCTTACTGTGAGACCTGCGCTGATTTGAGACCGTGGTTGCTTGCGGCATGAGAACGAACAGCGCATGAGCAAGTAAAATGATTGCAAATAAGGATTCATGCTAGTAATCATACTAACATTTAATATTGCTGATAACAATATTTACAATACCAAGAACAACAGATAGAATAAATCAATGCTAATTGCACCCCACCTTCTTGTGCTTGATGTCGACCTGCATCTGCTTCTTGTTCACCTGGCAGGTATGCAAGTGCTGCTTCTACGCAGGGCTCAAAATATGAGGTTTCGTCTAAACTCCTAACATCCCCCTTAATAAGACCTATGATACTCCCCTAAACCCTAAACCCTAAACCCCTTATATACTCCCTAAATAACCCCTCATATGTTCAGAAGATTCATCATGCGGAAAGACCCAGCAACCATTTTCCCACACTTTGAGTTGCCAATATCAAACCCTGGCACCCATTTGGGGGTTTCCCAAAGGGTTACCTAGTATAATGGAGAATCAAATGGGAAAGAAAATGAAAATGAAATGGAAACTTAGTTTATTTAGGGGATTATAGGGATTAGGGTTTCCCAAAATTAGGTGTACTTTTTGGGGGTCCCTATAATAAGGATTATAGTATATTAGGGTCTATATAGGGGTCCCCTCATTTTGGGAAACTACCATTTACATCCAGGCAAGAAAAAGAGGTGGGGTGGACAGGCAAATCTGCAAACCCAGAGGGGTGATCCCGATAATCATAGGTTCAACTAGTACCCCCCCCTCTATACTAGGGTTTAGGGTTTAGGGTTTAGGGTTTAGGGTTTAGGGTTTAGGGTTTAGGGTTCCCCCCTTAATAAAGCTTCTTCAGGGATAGTTAAGCCTAATTAAGGTTAATTAAGGAGGGAACCTAGGGGGGGTAGTATAGAGGGGGGTACTAGTTGAACCCATGAGATAAGTCTTCCGTTCCAGGAAAACAGAAAGATGCCTACATAATCCGCTGAATTTCATTGTCCATTATCCCTATGTAATCCCCATATATCCCTATATAACTATGCACCCGCAAGAGTGGCAAGTGAAGGAAAACATACACTCCCAAACCCAAAGACCCCTAAACCCGAAGCTCCGTGCTAAAACCTCGGCCTGGGCAAACCTCAGTCTACCACGCACACCCCTTAGGAGAACCCCCCGCCTGTAATGGTGGTATAATGGGTTTTAGGGTTTAGGGTGGTATAATAGGAATACAAGAGGACCCTATTCGTTACAATCCTTATCATCCCTTATAGTCGCTGTTACTGGGTGGATGTCCTCCTAATACATTCCACCTTGGACTCGAAGATGAACTTGTCGTACTCACCTTGACTGGACTCCTCGCGGGCGGCACACTGCGCAGAAACAAAACGTGAAAGAAGGAACTCCATTCAGAAAGCCTAGAACCAACTTCATCACTTTACTCTGCCTGGCGCATACCCCTGAACTCACTTGTAAGCTCGACCCACGAATACCTCAGTAACCACCTCGTCGCGCTTTCAACCCTCAATCCTTTTGGCCCAAAATCTCCGCTTGAGTATATCTTAGAGACCCTGAGTGCTGACAAACTTCTGAGATGTGTACTGCAAACCTCATGGCAGCCAGCCAACAATAGGGTAAAACCTATCCCAACAAACAGGAGACAAGCTTCATCAACGTGCAGAGCCCGGTATGGTTTCTATATTGGCCCTTAAGTGGGCGTGTAGGGTTTTACAGGGTATAAAAACCCCCGGGTTCAGAGCCCATACGAGGGCTTCATAGTTCAAACCTTTGAAGACTTGATCTTGTAGATCCTTACTGCTGGGATTTTGGGGTTTAGGGTTTAGGGTTTAGGGTTTAGGAACCACATGACTGAATCTCTTCCACACTCTAACACTACCAGGACAACCAGTCCTTATTGGTTCAACATCATATGGCAGTTTCCCTAAATAAAGGGACCCCATTTTAGACCCCAAAAATCCAGACCCCCACAAAAAGGTACCCCTAATTTTGGGAAACCCACATGTAATGCCCCTAGAAAGCTTTTGGCGAACTCCCTGCATAGCAGAAGAAGCCGCTGCCACCGCTACGCTATCGCAAGCTGACTGGATGGTTCTCAGTAGCCTAGGCTAAAAGTTTTGGGCTTAGGGGTGGCTTCACTAAGATGATTTCAAGATGCCAGGAACTGATGCAACCTCTGAAATCCTTTAATTCCGTTCTGCTCACTGTATGACCCCTTTCAACTCTACGTGGTCCCAATTCCGAAAATGAGGCCCAATATAGATTTCGAAATAATATAATCCTGATTGTCGGTACCCGTACCCCTGATAATTCTGGACACCCCATATATGGCTGGCTCTGGCCAGCAATAGTTCAAGACTCTAGATTTTCACGGAGAAGCTAACACATTCGATGCTGCTGATTTGGGGAGTTTCAGGGTGTCTCATCGGTTTAGGGTTGCTTCGCCGATAAAAGTCTACAACTCTTTTCTACGTTTCCCCGCAGCCTCAACCCTCAACCCCCAAACCACAAACCCTAAACCCTCAACCATCCACGCCTCAACGCTATACAACTCTGTAATCCCAGCTATCAGTACATGTCCCGTTTGATTCTCCAGTTGGATCTCAACTTCCCTTTCATAGCCTACAAACCTGGATATTCCTATGTACCCCTCTATAACCCTCCACAACCTTACATATTCCTATATGTATATATATGGGTGGTTGTCAAAATTATGGTCCCTTTTTGGATCCCTGTTATAATACGGCACCTAATATTTAGGGTACCCAAAAAAAGAACCACATTTTTGACAACCACCCATATATATATATACCCCTAAACCCTAAACCCTAATCAAACCCTGAACCCCTAGATCAGCCCTAGAACCCCTTTAAAAGGATTTACTCTTAGCTGCAGGGGTCCTCCTCAGAGCTAGTCTCGGCCTCGAGCTTGGCGAAGTCCGCGGCAATAACCTGGTGCGACGTTCCCCCATGGGGATAAAGAGGTTTAGGGTTTAGGGTTGAGAGATAGCTTAGGTGGACCCCCTATAACAGTGACGCTCAGGGATAATAAGGATTGTATTGGGGTCCTCTTATATTCCTCTCATACCACTATTACGGGGCGGAGGGATCCTCCGCAGAGATAAGGCTTTAGGGTTTCAGGTTTTGGGGTTAGGGATAGGGGTGTGGGGTTTAAGGCTTAGGAATTACGCAGCCCATAGTATATGGCATGGTCATGACTTTTTTTTAGGGTTTGGAACTTCGGGCTCCGGGTAGTTGTAACGCAAGTAGATTTCCAGAAACACACAAGTACAAGTCCCCCAAGTCAGCTAAATTTACTTGGTGCGTAATTACCCTGGGCCTCCAAAGCATGCGGTGGGTGGAGGAAATCTTGCACGAGGAACCCCATCACAATGGAATTCCTGGGGAATAGGGTATATGAGGTGGTGCAAGATTTCTTCCATCCACCCGCGCTGCGTGGAGGTATTTTATAACGGGGATATGTGGAGATTCATGGGATTTGCAGTAGTTACTCGTATTCTAGGAAGTAGCTTGGGATGCTCTGCCAGTTGCCCTGCGACGCATACTGACTACTCTGCTTGTGATGCTATGACAACCTGCACACCACCACCGCAGCCACCGCCACCGCCATCGCCACCGCCACCGCCACCGCCGCAGCAAGAGCCTCCTCAGTCTGTTGCTGCGCCCTGCTAAGGGGAAGCTGGTAGGGGGACGGGGATTTCTTGTGGCTGGGAGCGGTGCCTAAACCTAAAGCAAATGGCTCAAGTGTCCATCCCAGCTCTGCTTGGCTGTAACTTGCAGGCTTAGGGATTACTAGGGGTCGTATGGCATTGGCTTAGGGTCTAGGCGTATGTAGGGATTATCTAGAGATTGTTGGGGGTATGTATGGAGTCTAAGCTGTCCAAGTGGGAATATCTGAGTGGTGTTCTAGAGTTTCACGCAGATCTGTTTCTGTGTGCGCATGTCCAAGTGCAGTAGCTTGGGTACTGCCCCCAGCCTGCAATGGTCTATATTGGGGTTCATATTTTGGACTCTCCCTCTATGTATATATATATATATATTCTTAGTATTATCCAACTGGTACAGAGCGGGGGCAGTACCCAAGCAATAGCCTTCCTGGTAAGCATCACGAAAGAAGCTGGCAGGGGCAGAGGCAACGCAGCATGAAAGGACAGAGTGATTCAACCTACACCCTAAACCCCATTCGCCCAAGAAATCTCGGATCAAGAGCCGCAACCCCTGCATTATATTGAGGTTACATATAAGGATATGACTCCAATAATGGAGAATAAAGTGGAAAATAAAATTGAAACTGTGGGTATATAGGATAGTAAGTATATTGGGGTTATTTAGCGATAATGGAAGAGAAAATGGAAGCTACTATTTAGGGTTTAGGGTTTAGGGATAATGGAAAAGAAAATAGAAACTACTACAGCATCTTGCGGTCATATTAGGGTTATATCTCAGCTAGATTAGGATGATGTTGCATGGCTCATCAAAGTTCCCGGGAGATCCCAATTGTGCACAGTTAGGTGTTCTACAAGGCAACCTACATCCGTCAAGTTACGGAAATGCCATTAAGGGCTTGGCGCCAACTTTCGAAATAGGAAGGAAAGCTTTGAAGTCCACTTGGGGGTTTCCCAAATTCAGGGGTACCATTTTGGGGGTCCCTATAATAAGGACTATAGTATATTGGGGTCTATATTGGGGTACCCTAATTTTGGGAAACTACCACTTAGCGCGCCTGAAGCATGTCGAGGACACCGCCGCTCTTGCCCTGCATGCCCTGGTAGGCCCTGGGCCACAAAACTTCAACAGCCCGGGTAATTGATTTATATAATGCCTACAAAACCTATATAAACCCAGTTTCCATGTCATCTTCTGCGTTCTTTTCGATTTGCCTTTCCACTATTTCTATACTATGGTATGACCGCCGCAGTTTCCTACAGTCCCACACCTGGCAGTTCATATCTTAGACGAAGCCTACCATTCAAGCCCTGATACAATACCCGGGAAAAAGCTGCAAACACCCAAACTAGAATCCTGCTCAAGCCCTGCGCTCTAAAATCCCTTAGGGATTAGGGTTTGGGGTTCAGGGTTTAGGGAGTAGGCATCCTATTCGTTCCTGTCATGTTTCCCGAATCAGAATCCACAAAACATGGACAGACAGTCAGCTAAGCGCTGGGCGAGTCAAAGATCTCAGGCTGGCCAGACCTAGCAAACACCAAAAGCTGCAGTGATCTGACTCTACTATATTGGGATATACTGGGACTGTGTCTTTTTTGTATGTAACATGTTGGGAAAGTTTAACCTTAGGGGGTCGGGGTTTTGATATCAGGGTGAGGGGATTTCTCCAGCTCCTGCTGAAGTTGCCCAAGGCTCTAGCCGCCACTCCAGAGCTCACCAGGATGCATTGCCGAGCTCTCTAACCCCTTCATACGAAGATGAAACACTCCCTTTTAAATATTCCCCATGAGAGACCTGGACAGCTTTCACATTGGGAGTGGGGAGATATTTGATATCAGTATGAAGTGCTTACGGACATGGGCAACATTCGCTTCTGATGTCCATAGTCTATGTCTGTCTGAGGTACCACATACCATCATTGCGCAAGGGAATTGGGACCATAAGATTTGGTAAACATCCCCATCTATCACTATACAGTTTCCATCATTTCCATTCTCAAATTGATTCTCCATTGTTCCCCTAGACCCTACAGGCTTTCAGACTTATGTCTTGGGACCACCGGCCCTATCCCCTAAACTCATGGCATAGGCCGCCCACCTAGGCCTCCCAGGCCTCCCAGGCCTCTCAGGCCTCCAGGCCTCCCAGCCCCCCAAACCTCCCAGGCCTCCCAGGCCTCCCAGCCGACCTCCCATCCAGGCCTCCCATTCTCCCAGAACCTAAACCCTTTCACTCATCAGCACCAGAAGGTTGCTAGGCCTCCTCCAGACCTCTTTCAGCCGCTCAGAACCTTCAGCGTACACAAATGAAAAGGTGTTGTTGTTG